TATATACACACAGTATATATATATACTACCTGAGTATTGTTGCTGACCATGTCCATCCCTTTAATAATATCCTTTAGTTCACTCCAAAGCATTGTCAGTTTGTTTGCAGCTTTTGTTTAGTAARATGTTTTCCAAAGCAAACCATCATGATTTGACCATCATTCAATTTTATTTACATTTTGAGCCTATTAAAACTAATTACTTTAATTCTCCATGAGTTGGCTGCCAGTTAAAAGTAAAGCATTACTCTCCACAAACACTGATCTGTTCCGCAGGGGTGACCACGGTCTTGACGATGACCACTCTGATGATGGGTGCTCGCACTTCTCTGCCCAATGCAAACTGCTTCATCAAGGCCATAGATGTTTACTTGGGCATCTGTTTCACCTTCATCTTTGGTGCACTGCTGGAATATGCCTGTGCTCATTTTTACAGCATGCAGCACCAAACCATAGAGGATTTACACCGGGTGAGTACAAAGCAAATGCACTTGTCTAAAAGAAGTGTCACTTTTATGTTAGATAATAAAAACGCTGCAATTATTTATCCATTTTGTGCATGTGTGTGTTATCAGGAGCTACTGAGGGAGTTCTGCGAATCCAACGGAAACGGCTCCATCCCGATTGTCAGCTCCAGCCARCCGAACCAGTCAGTGGAGGTCGGCTCCACTGCAGAGGAGCCTGCAGAGGAGCCCGTGAACAGTGACATTAAGGACCACGCCACAGCAAAAGAGAAAGTGCCGAGTCAGGGCTGTGGTTTATCAACTGTGAAAGAGGCTTCACGCAGAGCAGCGTCTGTCTTTATCGTGGAGAATCCACACAACATCGATCGCCGCGCCCGCACCGTTTTCCCCACAGCTTTTCTCTTCGTCAATATTCTGTACTGGCTTTATTATCTCTTTCTCTAAGTGCTGAACGCAAGCCTGCAGAGATAGTTCATTTCACCRCCCTGAAGCTGCTCTACCTCCTCATGTTTTGCTTCAGCCACGTCACCACTGGCTGGAACTCATCTCATCCAATCCGACCTTTTGCAAAAGAGATTAAAATAATTTTAGAGCTACAAATGGATGAGAAGCTGTCGGTCCAGACTTTATTCTCTGTTGAAAGAGGCGGTATTGATTCGATAGGAAGGATGGCTCTTGACATACACTCACTGACAAAAAAATGTTAAGCACCCAGAAAGAAAGGTCCAGTTTTTAACCAAATGGTAGATATGTTTTTGTCCCCCATCGCTGAGGTAGGGGATTTAGAAATGCTCTCCRTCCATCCATCCGTCACATTTTCATAAAGCTGTAACTTTCACATAGAAAGGCTAAAATACACCAAACTTGGGATGAGTCTTGACCTGATCAGCAACAAATTGTGTCAGAACACACATAAGAACTTAATCTCACTTTCAAGCACAAAGACCTTTTGATTAAAGGTGTGCTCATGGCGGTGCGGCGGTCACACATCATGCCGTTATACGCTTGGCTCTAAATTCCACATATTTCAACCAATCTGCACCGAATTCTCTATGGTCCATCATAATTCACCCTGCTACAGGAATGCAGTCAATTTTTGGGTGGTGTGGCCTATTTCCTCCACAGCACCCACTACAATTATTACAAAAATTAGCCCCAACCCATGCACTTGGACCTGGAATCATGAAATTTGGTACACGTGTGTAACGTCTCAGGACCTTAAAAAGTCTCTTGGAGTCATGGTTCCACTTTGCCCACTATAAATCACACATACATTATCCAGTCTGCGCAAAATTTGTGCACACCATTGGGGAAACCAGCTAAACACATTAGTGTRGTAGTTTGACAAGCTCAATTTAGTCCCTCCGTCTGTTTGTCTATCCATTAAATTTGTGAGATTATTAAAGTATGAAACCCTGTGATGTTTCCAACAAAACCACTAACATTTTGTCACTACTGAATGGTGATGAGGGACATCAGCGATGGTTGACATCGAGTTCCATCTTAGTATAAAAATGACCTGTTTTGCAAGGAGCTGGCATGTCTAGAACAAGAATTTCCAAGTAGAGCAATAGTGTTATCAGGCAGTTGCTAGAGCATTTTGCAGTCAGTGAAAACAGTGAGTAAAGCTCAGCAGAGATCAACATTTCATTGGGTTTATATGAGGTGCGGTATGAGGGCCAACAGGACAACTTTTACACACTCAGCGGTGGTCCTACGTCCTTGTAGCATGAGGCTATATCTATTCTGCTACTGATCGGATTACTGAATGGCTGRCGCTGGCAGCAGAGAAGGAGACTAATGTTTTAGCATTGGAGAGGCTAGTGACTAGCATGCCTAGTCTGGTCAGCCACTTCATTAGGTGCAGCCTTTTTTTTTAAAAAAAA